ATCTCACAATATCCCACAGTATCTCACAATATCCCACAGTATCTCACAATATCCCACAGTATATCACAATACCCCACAATATCTCACAATACCCCACAATATCTCACAATACCCCACAGTATCTCACAATACCCCACAGTATCTCACAATACCCCACAGTATATCACAATACCCCACAATATCTCACAATACCCCGCAGTATCTCACAATACCCCGCAGTATCTCACACTGTATTTATGATATATTTATATCTGAACATCTATTTGTATTTATAGGGTATTCAGGCACATTGTGTGAAAGCTTGATTGATCCATGTTCAACATTAAAGTGTTCCTCACCGTCTACCTGTTGGAATCCAGACTATCCCACTATACAACCAACCTGTGTGTGTCCAGACCATAAAGTTAGATCAGATTCTGGCTGTAAAGGTAGGGACAATCAAAGTAACATTTAAACACTTGGCTTATATCCATTTGTATGTATAGGATGATGACTTCGGACGAGTTTTTACAGAAAAAGGCGGGCCCAAGTATTTGTCCTCGCCTTTCTCTTTCGAGGGTTTTCTAAGGTCATAAGAAATTTGGTTTGCGCCTACAATTGTACCCCCACTTCATTTTCAACAAATCGAAATGTTTACCTTTTTTCTCCAAAATATTCATTTTCTTGAGAGAAACCCGTAAGACGCTCTATGAGAGGCTTGCGACTATGACATCACCACAGAGTAGCCAAAATAGGAATTCAGCGAGTCAGTCTGCCCCCTATTTGTACCCCCAGTCTCAGAAGGCTGGCGCCGCCACTGCCTTGGTTTATTGTCTCATCTGAAAGACCAGACGCCTTTCCATGCCAGCCCCTCTTACATGCATTACTGACACGGGGAAACCGGTCGGAAAAATCCGAAATTATCCCGACCTATGCCGAGATTGAACTCTGGACCTTCAGGTAAGCGAGCAAGCGTCTAACACACTGAACTGCCGCTGCTCCCAGAGGTTATTACTGAGCTATAATGCACCTGCAACATCAAAGAAATTTGCCGCCATAGGTTTATAAACATGCTCCCTGATATCCAGTGCGTCTTCATTAGCCCACATGGTGCAGAAACGTAGGACGTAAAACTCCATTCATTTCATTTCCTGATACCCAGTGGTGGTAATGTTTAAAGGTACGTGTAATTCTATATTTTGTTCCAGATTCGACTGCTGATTTCGATATTTTCACAAACAGTGAAGTACCAAATTATCTGGAACCAACTTCAGATAATTTTTACATCAACAAGACAAAAGGATTAAGTATTACTCTCTGGGCAGCCTATTTACGAGGAGTCAACACTAAGCTCTTCGTCTTGGAAGATGTAACTGATGATGGAAGGTAAGTGAAAACTACTGTCTTATTAGAAAGGATTGAGACAAAGAATGAACCGACTCTCTTAAGCAATGGCCACAGACTGTCAGATCTTACAAACGGTGTCATTTGATTGCGATGAATTTCTCATTTTATAAACGAGTGGGAGGAGCCTAGCCGTGCTATAGCAAGAGATTTAAATCTAGTTATAGCAGATTTACTCTGTATAACGATAACTGATAAACGAATCGTGTATGACGTCATATAGGCGTCGTGGGTTATATTTGAATTTCAAACAAACTGAAGATACCAGATTACCATTGTTATTATAGACTGTAAATTGATCCAGAGTGACAAACCAAGTCAAAGATTGGATTATGTGTACAGTGTAATGTATCAACTATATTGTATATCTGATTTATATTTTAGAAATGTCATCTCTTTGACCCCGACGAGTTTCAAAACAAGGGAAGAGTCAATTTCACTGGGAGAAAACATTAATAATTTTCAAAATAAGAAATGGAATCATATTGCTATCACAGTCGCACCAACTGGCAGATTGGAAATTACATTGAATGGCATACAGCTGAATGGGGCAGACACTAACCTGACATCACAACTTCCTGAGTGAGTATAGTTCAGTAATATCTGAACAGACATATAACTTTAAAGATAGGTTCCCTATTTCCATTTATGAAAATGAAAATGCTAATACTTATATGGATATAAAGTAGAGGTGTTCTAAGGAAAATACCAATTTGCCTCACATGTCCATATTTCATAATGAGCTAAATTAGAAGAGAATTACCAGCAGAATTCCAATGAGTGACCGATCAAAAAAGGTCAAAAAGTAATATTTTATCTAGACTGTACATACATGGATAATGCATCAATTGTAGAGCGATATAGAAATACCACTGTTAAAATAGTACTCAATACATTAATTATAGAGCGATATAGAAATACCACTGTTAAAATAGTGCTCAATACATTAATTATAGAGCGATATAGAAATACCGCTGTTAAAATAGTGCTCAATACATCAATTGTAGAGCGATATAGAAATACCACTGTTAAAATAGTACTCAATACATCAATTGTAGAGCGATATAGAAATACCACTGTTAAAATAGTGCTCAATACATTAATTATAGAGCGATATAGAAATACCGCTGTTAAAATAGTGCTCAATACATCAGTTGTAGAGCGATATAGAAATACCACTGTTAAAATATTGCTCAATACATCAATTGTAGAGCGATATAGAAATACCACTGTTAAAATATTGCTCAAAACATCAATTGTAGAGTAATATAGAAATACCACTGTTAAAATAGTGCTCCATACATCAATTGTAGAGTAATATAGAAATACCACTGTTAAAATAGTGCTCAATACATCAATTGTAGAGCGATATAGAAATACCACTGTTAAAATATTGCTCAAAACATCAATTATAGAGCGATATAGAAATACCGCTGTTAAAATAGTGCTCAATATATCAATTGTAGAGCAATATAGAAATACCATTGTTAAAATAGTGCCCAATACATCAGTTGTAGAGTAATATAGAAATACCACTGTTAAAATAGTGCTCCATACAGCAGTTTTGGAGCAATATAGAAATACCACTGTTAAAATCGTTCCAATACAGCAGTTGTGGAGTGATATAGAAATACCACTGTTAAAATCGTTCCAATACAGCAGTTGTGGAGTGATATAGAAATACCACTGTTAAAATAGTGCCAAAAATACATCAATTGTAGATCGAAACAGAAATACCACTGTTAAAATAGTGCCCAATACATCAATTGTAGAGCGATATAGAAATACCACTGTTAAAATAGTGCCAAAAATACATCAATTGTAGAGCAATACAGAAATACCACTGTTAAAATAGTGCCCAATACATCAATTGTAGAGAGATATAGAAATACCACTGTTGAAATAGTACTCAATACATCAATTGTAGAGAGATATAGAAATACCACTGCTAAAATAGTATCCAATACATCAATTGTAGAGTGATATAGATTTACCACTGTTAAAATAGTGCCCAATACATCAGTTGTAGAGAGATATATAAATACCACTGTTAAAATAGTATCCAATACATCAGTTGTAGAGAGATATAGAAATACCACTGTTGAAATAGTGCCCAATACATCAGTTGTAGAGTGATATATAAATACCACTGTTAAAATAGTGCCCAATACATCAGTTGTAGAGTGATATAGAAAGAGAAACAAGGAAGATAACCCAGCCAAAAATGCAAACATATTCAATTACTTGTGTGTATATTATCTTGTTTAACAAAATATTTTTATTTATCCTCAGGTATGCGAGATTCACAGTAGGAAGTCACTTGGTTGGTTATATTTCTCGACTGAGATTATGGAATCGTGTTTTGACTACGACAGAAATAACCTCAACTATTAACGACCCTGATGACATATCGAATACTGATTTAATATTTAACTGGAAAGACATGCCAAGTAGTAGATACCAAACTAGGATTTCTTCCAGTGCACTACAAGATACCACCAAGCCAACCTATCTGTGTGAAAATGGAGTTTTCAATGAAAAATGCCCCAATATGATCGGTCAGTTAGATAATTGGGTTCAGAACCCTTATATTAATATATACATGTATACACTACTTTAAACACATACCTCTCAATATGATCTCAATGCGACACAGATCAGAGTAACGCTGTATGTTTTTTTTTATGATATAGAAACAGTAGCGTTTCAGGTCAGGTAAACATCAGGTGAGGGAGCCGAGCACGGGTTAAATTTAAAAGCGATTGTTATTTAATGCCCACTCAGTTGACTAAAGACGAAAATTATAATGGTTTTTAAGAATAAGGCTCCTGATAGTAGCTTTTGATTGTTCATTTTGACTGTATGTGTCTTCAGTGACACAGCGCTGGGGGAAGGGGGTTGAGAGACTCACCCGGCTTTGGTCTCTCACTTTCAAATTTCTTATCTCTCTTATCTTTCAAATCTTTAGAATATGTGACCAAATACTTCTTATAAACGCTACTGTGTGACTCAAGTGGTCTCTAAGAGGTTTTCTTCAGATGAAATCAATACTCATTTTGAAATCTCAAAGATCGATTAAGAAATTTTACTTATTTTTTTAAATTTGTAGATAAACTTCCACCAACGGCAACTGATTGTAATCCGAATAAGATTATTGATAATATGAATGATACCAGTAAACGATCAACTCTTATCCTTGACCTGATTCCAACTCCAACATTCAATGATGGCACTACCTACATCATGAATGTAGCATGTGAGATATTTTATGTATTTAGAACCTATTCCAACAATTTAGCCGTAGAAATCCGGAATCATTTGTGAGGGAAGGAAATATCTACTGGAGTTTTTCTTTCATAATGTCAGAAAATCAAAGATACCTCGAGCAATTTTTCCCAACGATGGGGTGATCCTACTGTCAATTGTTTTTTCTTTCTATCCTTATATTGTTTTGCTGGTTCGTAGGAGATCCAAATTTTTGAATTTTGATTCTGAAAAATTAAATCGATAACTGAAATTGATCTAGGCTTGCTTGATTGATTGGAGGGCAAGTTATATCCGGAGAAGACTGACGTATAATATATTTTGCAGAAATGAATTTGTCGGTTGTCTGAATAATGTTGTTTTAACTATTTCAGCTGGTTCTGTATTATCTTGGGGATCACATGATGTATTTTTTGTGTCTAAAGACGAGAATGATAACCACGTGACCTGTCGCTATAGAGCTCACGTCAAATGTAAGTAGACACCCAATATCAAGAATTCAAAATCTGCTTTGTCTTACTATACGAATGTTGAATTATCTCCCTTGTATGAGTGATGAAATATATTATTATCTCCCTTGTATGAGGGATGAAATATATGATTATCTACCCTGTATAAGTGATAAAATATATCATTATCTCCCTTGTATGGGTGATGAAATATATTATTATCCCCCTTAT